ATAAAATAAACTACATTGCCATCTCTTCTTCATCATCTTCGCCTTCTTCGTTTGGAGGTGATATTCCAAGTTCGACTTCTTCAATGTGTAAGTTTGCTTCCAAATCGGCATCAATTGCATCTTCTAGGGTGGTGATATGTTGCTTACGAGCCGCTCCATCCAAATAATCCTTTAAACAAATGCATACTTCCACCGACTCGGGACTTAGTCTTGATCTCCGTTGTGATATAACCCTGCCACTAACAGAAAAAGCGGATTCCGAAGCTACCGTAGAAGCTTGGACGGTTAGTAAATCACGGGCCATGACGGCTAGAATCGGAAATTGTGCTTCCTTTTCTTTCCACCAAGCCAAAATATCCAAACTTTCAAACTCTTCAAATGTCATTTTTGATAGAAAATCGCATGACATGTAATTTCCCAACTCGCTACTTGGGGTGGTAGTACGTGATCGTTTGGATTGGGAATTTACAAGAGTGTTAAAAAGATTCAAATTTATGTTACTTGGACGTCTACTAGATGATTCCGCATTCATTCCCATTTGATCATGTATTACACTACTTGATCCGTATTTAGTTAAATAAATTGCAAACATGTCTCGAAAACATTTGTTAAAATAATTTATTTGGTTTTGGACAAAGTTGGGTTCATCATCAGTTAGATTAAAAGCAAACGCAATTTGTTCAATTAGTGTTTCAACCCCACCAACATTTAACGTTGGGTTTAAAGCGGCGGCACAAGTAAAAATGGGGGGGAATCTCCTTAAAATATTTTAAAAGTTTTTCCTTCATTGCAAAGTCAATTTCTTGAAAAACTTCGGTTTCAAATTCAAAGTCATTTAGTCGGGTAGCCAACAAAAATATTTGATTAAGAACCAACGGGCTAGTAGGGTAATAAACACCGGATAAAAAAGTTGTTGCATTTTTAAAAACCTCAAGCAAATCGGTTATTTTGGCTATAGTTTCCCAACTCGAATCCGGATAAATGTTTGGGACATGACCCCTCTCGAAAAGCCGATCGTGAAATGTTTGCAATGTTTCCCTTTGCCTTAAGGCAGTATGCATCATCATCCAAGTTGAGTTCAACGAATTGGACAATCCAAATTAGGACCCAAAGCTTTTTTATTAACAGACTTACAAAATCGTTTATAATCATTTAGTCTTTTATTGTTGTTACAAAGAATCGATTTTATCATTATTTTAAATTCTAATCTAATTGGCTCAATAATCTCCAAACCGGCTTGCACGGATAAATTAATTATGTGTGCAACGCAACGGGTATGAAAAAACGCACCGTCTAAAATCGGTGAAAGTAATATTTTCAATCTTGGAACCGCGTTTGTATTATTCGATGCATTATCAAAGGATATAGAAAAAACTTTATTTTCTAATTTATAAATACAAATTACCCGTTTTAAAAGTGTAAATAAATTAGCACCGGTATGCGGCTCACCGAATAATTCAAACGCGATTGTTCTTTTCATCATTTGCCAATTATCTTGATCTAACCAATGTGACGTAACGGCTAAAAAAGAATTTCCGGTATTATGAGGGGAACTCCAAACGTCACATGTAAGCGACACACCATAACGGTGTTCTTGGAATCCTAAAATCATTTTTTCCCTCGCCGTACGCCACATTTTTATAGCATCTCTTCTAAGGGTAGTACGACTTACTTGAGTATAACGTGGTTGCATTAGTTGTTGAATTGTTGTCGTGAAATCTTCATCATCAAAGTGGTCGAACGGCAATGCTTTTGTAATCACGAACTTTGTAAACGCTTCTCGTAATTTTTCGTTGTCGTAAACAAAAACACCACCTTGCGGTGTAAGATTCGATTGACTAGGATCCGATCTTGAGCGAAGTGCCTTGCATGATTTTGTCAAATGATTCTTCAACGTTGTGTTTCCTTCCGATGCAAGAAACTTTAGACAAAGTTTACAACGCGCCCTCCTCGAGCCATTTGACATCTCACATAAATCGTAGTGATCCCAAATATCTTTGTTTCGAGTGTGTTCGATCACTCTCACGACTTCAAGGTTTCCCCGACGGAAGATTCAGCAGTGTTACTCATGATGAACAAAAAATTACAAAACTAAGATTTGAGAGATGTTTAAATGTTGTGTAATAAGATTTGAGAAAGTTGTAATCAACCAAATACATCCCCAACCTATTTATACATGTTTAGGGTGGTAAAATGGTAATTTTTTAAAGAAAAAAACGGTCAAAAACGGCTATATTAACGGCTAGTTTTTTAAACCCAGACCGGTTTTTTTTTCTCGGATAAAAACCGGTTTTTTATCCGGTAAAAAAACCGGTCTGGGTTTTTTTCTCCAAACCGGTTAAAATAACCGGTTTTAAAAAATCCGATCCGGTTAAAAAAAACCGGTTTTTCCCAAATCCGGTTTCGGATATTTTTTTCGCAAAATCGGATATTCGGATTTTTTGTGCACCCCTATGTATAAGATATCAATAGATGGAAAAATAATAGACAAACCTAACTCATTTTGAAAGTACTTAAACAATAGAAGAACTTATGGAAAATCTCATTTGTGGATGATTTACAATATAAAAACGTTAAGAAAATGTTAAATTAATTATTTAATGATCACATATGAATGATTTATTTGGATGAAAATGAGGTAACTAGATGGTATAAGCGGTTCCTTTGAGTTAAACAAGTGATGTTTTAAGATGAAAATGAAAGCAATGTGAGAATGGCATGAATTGATGCGTCTTGCCGCGACGCGGAGAAGAATGATCACATGTTTCTTATCGCCTCTCTGCTCCAGCAATTGCACTTTGTCGAATAGCTCTCTATCTGGATCTCAAGTTGTGGTGTGAGAGGCGAATGTTAACTTGTCTAGAAAACTAGGGTTTGTTGATTATGTGAAACTAGCTAAAAACAATGAAGGGTTTTACAGCCAACACTTTCCATTAACAGGAGTCTAGCTTCAGCTACATCAAAAATTCAACCCTAATAACAACTCAACTAACTAGTGACATCAGCTTCAGCTGACTATAATAGGCCGAATGGACCCAAAATGAGCATTAAAACTCAGGTATAGGTGGTGGTGGTGGTGGAGATTCAGAATTGTGTGCAACCGGTGGCTTGATTTCAAAGATGGAGAACGTTGTATTACCATCCTCTACTGCTTCGTCAACACTGAGTTGACTCGTTTCCACCTCAACCACTCGGAAGCCTTGACCCCTTAACTCATCCAAGCATTCACCCCTATATGGCCTCATCTCGGTGGCACCCCAAACTTGGGTACCTTCTCCACAAACCCTTTTCAGCGTCTTACCTAATCCTATCATTTCTTCTGAATCAAACAAGACATCGCTCATCAAACCATATCAAACGTCTTTAGGTTTGTTATTCCACTCATTGACTCGTCCGATCCCCACACGAGTTCTTTCACGCCAACTTTTCCCATCAACCCGTTATCTTCAACGTTGTTTAAGAGCCCAGGGAGGAGCTGTTGGACGTCAGTGAGTAGCACTCGGGTGGCGCCTAGCAGAGCTGCTGTCAAGCAAGGGAGGCCGGCACCAGCTCCGATCTCGATGACAGTCTTGCCTTGGAAATCGAGGTGAGTGGGCATCCAGTGGGACAAAAGAAGGGCCGAGTCCCACACCCATGAGCCGGCAAGTGGGCGACCCGTGACCGAGTCATAGACATCGTCGAGTTCGTAGACGGAAAGTTTGTGGGCTGCTACTTGAATTTATCTTATTACACCCATGCGCTACGCAGGCTGGTGTGCCTCACCATTTGTATTTGGCGGTTCTCTCTTTGCATATATATATATATATACAGGAGGAAATTTAATACTATTATTATTGTTATTATGCTTAATACGGCATATTTATTATTAATAAAAATCACATTTTGGCCTTTGTGCTAATTTTCTTTGATCCCTAATTTATCTTTCTACTATCATTATATTTTAGTCTTTTACAGTTATGGTTAAAAATGTTGATTGTCTAATAAAATACTATCATGCTTAAAGAAATTACTTAAAAAACTTAAAAATAAAAATATCATTAAAAAGCCTATAAAATTATTTTTATTTTATTAATATTTTAAAAAAATAAATTAAACGTAATAATATTTTAAAAATATACATAATTTCCAATGATTTCTAAAACTTTTAGAGAAAAAAAAATCAACAATACAAAATTATAGTGATAGACAAAATAAATGTCAAAAGCTGAATTAATCGAACAAATAATAAAATAACTAAAGTGACCACAACAAATATTAAATCTTATAATTCTTATTATTATGATGCTTGAAATACAACAACTCCTGAATTTGATAAATTTATGATCGATCATTTAAGTTTTTATTTGATCATGATTCTTAATTTCACAAGCCTTGAACTTTTAGAGGTCAAGGTAACCTTTAAAATTGACATGTTTGATCATCGAATTGGCTCTTGAAAGTTTTTTGAGTCAAATTGACCTTTGAAAGTTTTTTGAGTCAAATTGATCCTAAGCTTTATAGATTATTATAAAATAAAATAAAATTAATTTGATCATACTTTAAAGTTTCCTTCGTGAAATTGCCCCCTAGATTTGATAAATTGCTATAGATATTCAATAATCAACTTGACTGAACTTATCAAATTATAAATTGCAATGATTATCATTCCAACTTATTTGTAATCCAAAAGACTTCTTTTTAGGTGAATATTAGATAATATATGTTCAAAATTTTCTTAACCAACTGATAACGTATACATATCCTGCAGACATAACTGCTCGAACTCAAGATCTCTAAAGAGAACAACATTTCATTTTACCACTTATAATCCAAAAGACTTTAAATACTATATTGGAAGCCCTTGAAATTGCAGCAAGACCTCTCCATCTTCCGTGTAATTTATGAATCCATTCTAATTATTTTCATTAACTTTTAAAAGAATTTAAAATTTGAACAAGATTAAAAATAAAACATTCAAAATCATATTTGATCCACTCATTTACATGCCAAATTAGCTGTGGAATCAACGACTATTCTGTCTCATCAGTTTGGCAGCCCGCATCCTAAGAGAATCATATTCCCCCTTTGTCGAACCATTGTTGAAAATGCTGCAATAAACACGTGTGCAATAATCATGCATTGAAGAGCTTTCTGAAAGGGCCATCTTTACGGTCCTTGGCAGCTTCGGTTAAAGCAAGGAACCTCTTGAACCCTGTAGTCGCAGCACCGCGTCCAAGAGCAGCTGCTCTTGTTAGCACATCTTCCCGAGAAGCTATAAATCCAGCTGAAGCAGGATTTGACATGGCTGGAACTGTAGTCGCAGACTGGGCTTGTGGAATTGCCTGGCTAGCTGCTGCTGCTGCCCCAGAAGGTTGTGAGATTACCGGCGACCCTTTGTTGAAGTCGTCTAAGATACTTTGTTGGTCCGATTTCTTGAGGCCCTGAACACAAAAATTTCCATTTTCTTATTTTAAAGATCCGAAATCATTTAATGAAGTTATGGACTTATGATCAACTTTACCTTGAGCTCTAAAATACGCTGAAACTCCATCGGTGTTCCCTCTGGGAGCAACGCACGGTATGTATCCGCCACTGAATCAACAGGAGATAGTATAACCTGTGTAATGGATAAGGTACAAACTTGTATTACGATAGATGGACATGACCAGCCAGAATGAAAGCTAGCCTGAATTTTTATCACAACCTTCAAAAGTGCTTCGGCTTTGCTCATCTCTCGACTTACAAATTTTGAATAGCCAGCAGCACCAGATGTCTGCCAATAGAAGTAAAAGTTTATCAGCTCTTTCTTTTTTGCAAAATAGGAGAAAGAATGATGATAAAAATGATAAAGGAGATGAATGAAGCCATCATGATTCATGCATACGGAAACAAAAGCATACAAAACATTAATTTACACAAAAGGTAACTTCATGATCAAAATTGCAAAACAAATGGAGAGCTGAAATAAAGGAATGCAAACCATTCAATAAGAGCTGTAACAAGTGTGATATCATGAATACTGCACCACTCCACAAATAAAGAGTGATGAAGCCTCGTTGAAAACAGAGATGCAAAATCATGACTTATGTCAGTAATATTAAGAGCCAACTGCGGCATCAAATGTGGCATTTTTTTAAGGTAACAAATGGATAGCATCAAATACGAAAATTACTACAATTAGGTAGCAAGAACTCAGAAAATGATACCAAGTAACAAAAGTAAATAATATCCCTAAACTATCCCCTAAAAATCTGGAAATTTCCTAAATTGATGAACTGTCAACAGAATGCATAACTCACCTGTCGACCAAGGGAAGGAATTTCCAAAAGAATTGTCTTTACAGCTTGAGTATCCAACAGCATCTGCAATACAAATGTACCATTAATATATACATTAATATGTTCCAGGATCAATTATTCCGAACTCTATTGTTAGAATGCATTCAATCACATTCAAAAGTTTATACATGGTCGTTACAAGTAATTACAAATGAGTTAACATCTCAAATATGATATTCACCAAAAAGTTAATACATGTAGAGTTAGAGACAATGCCAATATTAGTTACACTTAACACAGGAATGGAATACTAGCAGAAACTGGGAAACAATATGTGAAAAATAAAAACTGGGAATACTAGTAGGGTAATAAACACCGGATAAAAAAGTTGTTGCATTTTTAAAAACCTCAAGCAAATCGGTTATTTTGGCTATAGTTTCCCAACTCGAATCCGGATAAATGTTTGGGACATGACCCCTCTCGAAAAGCCGATCGTGAAATGTTTGCAATGTTTCCCTTTGCCTTAAGGCAGTATGCATCATCATCCAAGTTGAGTTCAACGAATTGGACAATCCAAATTAGGACCCAAAGCTTTTTTATTAACAGACTTACAAAATCGTTTATAATCATTTAGTCTTTTATTGTTGTTACAAAGAATCGATTTTATCATTATTTTAAATTCTAATCTAATTGGCTCAATAATCTCCAAACCGGCTTGCACGGATAAATTAATTATGTGTGCAACGCAACGGGTATGAAAAAACGCACCGTCTAAAATCGGTGAAAGTAATATTTTCAATCTTGGAACCGCGTTTGTATTATTCGATGCATTATCAAAGGATATAGAAAAAACTTTATTTTCTAATTTATAAATACAAATTACCCGTTTTAAAAGTGTAAATAAATTAGCACCGGTATGCGGCTCACCGAATAATTCAAACGCGATTGTTCTTTTCATCATTTGCCAATTATCTTGATCTAACCAATGTGACGTAACGGCTAAAAAAGAATTTCCGGTATTATGAGGGGAACTCCAAACGTCACATGTAAGCGACACACCATAACGGTGTTCTTGGAATCCTAAAATCATTTTTTCCCTCGCCGTACGCCACATTTTTATAGCATCTCTTCTAAGGGTAGTACGACTTACTTGAGTATAACGTGGTTGCATTAGTTGTTGAATTGTTGTCGTGAAATCTTCATCATCAAAGTGGTCGAACGGCAATGCTTTTGTAATCACGAACTTTGTAAACGCTTCTCGTAATTTTTCGTTGTCGTAAACAAAAACACCACCTTGCGGTGTAAGATTCGATTGACTAGGATCCGATCTTGAGCGAAGTGCCTTGCATGATTTTGTCAAATGATTCTTCAACGTTGTGTTTCCTTCCGATGCAAGAAACTTTAGACAAAGTTTACAACGCGCCCTCCTCGAGCCATTTGACATCTCACATAAATCGTAGTGATCCCAAATATCTTTGTTTCGAGTGTGTTCGATCACTCTCACGACTTCAAGGTTTCCCCCGACGGAAGATTCAGCAGTGTTACTCATGATGAACAAAAAATTACAAAACTAAGATTTGAGAGATGTTTAAATGTTGTGTAATAAGATTTGAGAAAGTTGTAATCAACCAAATACATCCCCAACCTATTTATACATGTTTAGGGTGGTAAAATGGTAATTTTTTAAAGAAAAAAATGGTCAAAAACGGCTATATTAACGGCTAGTTTTTTAAACCCAGACCGGTTTTTTTTTCTCGGATAAAAACCGGTTTTTTATCCGGTAAAAAAACCGGTCTGGGTTTTTTTCTCCAAACCGGTTAAAATAACCGGTTTTAAAAAATCCGATCCGGTTAAAAAAACCGGTTTTTCCCAAATCCGGTTTCGGATATTTTTTTCGCAAAATCGGATATTCGGATTTTTTGTGCACCCCTATGTATAAGATATCAATAGATGGAAAAATAATAGACAAACCTAACTCATTTTGAAAGTACTTAAACAATAGAAGAACTTATGGAAAATCTCATTTGTGGATGATTTACAATATAAAAACGTTAAGAAAATGTTAAATTAATTATTTAATGATCACATATGAATGATTTATTTGGATGAAAATGAGGTAACTAGATGGTATAAGCGGTTCCTTTGAGTTAAACAAGTGATGTTTTAAGATGAAAATGAAAGCAATGTGAGAATGGCATGAATTGATGCGTCTTGCCGCGACGCGGAGAAGAATGATCACATGTTTCTTATCGCCTCTCTGCTCCAGCAATTGCACTTTGTCGAATAGCTCTCTATCTGGATCTCAAGTTGTGGTGTGAGAGGCGAATGTTAACTTGTCTAGAAAACTAGGGTTTGTTGATTATGTGAAACTAGCTAAAAACAATGAAGGGTTTTACAGCCAACACTTTCCATTAACAGGAGTCTAGCTTCAGCTACATCAAAAATTCAACCCTAATAACAACTCAACTAACTAGTGACATCAGCTTCAGCTGACTATAATAGGCCGAATGGACCCAAAATGAGCATTAAAACTCAGGTATAGGTGGTGGTGGTGGTGGAGATTCAGAATTGTGTGCAACCGGTGGCTTGATTTCAAAGATGGAGAACGTTGTATTACCATCCTCTACTGCTTCGTCAACACTGAGTTGACTCGTTTCCACCTCAACCACTCGGAAGCCTTGACCCCTTAACTCATCCAAGCATTCACCCCTATATGGCCTCATCTCGGTGGCACCCCAAACTTGGGTACCTTCTCCACAAACCCTTTTCAGCGTCTTACCTAATCCTATCATTTCTTCTGAATCAAACAAGACATCGCTCATCAAAACCATATCAAACGTCTTTAGGTTTGTTATTCCACTCATTGACTCGTCCGATCCCCACACGAGTTCTTTCACGCCAACTTTTCCCATCAACCCGTTATCTTCAACGTTGTTTAAGAGCCCAGGGAGGAGCTGTTGGACGTCAGTGAGTAGCACTCGGGTGGCGCCTAGCAGAGCTGCTGTCAAGCAAGGGAGGCCGGCACCAGCTCCGATCTCGATGACAGTCTTGCCTTGGAAATCGAGGTGAGTGGGCATCCAGTGGGACAAAAGAAGGGCCGAGTCCCACACCCATGAGCCGGCAAGTGGGCGACCCGTGACCGAGTCATAGACATCGTCGAGTTCGTAGACGGAAAGTTTGTGGGCTGCTACTTGAATTTATCTTATTACACCCATGCGCTACGCAGGCTGGTGTGCCTCACCATTTGTATTTGGCGGTTCTCTCTTTGCATATATATATATATATACAGGAGGAAATTTAATACTATTATTATTGTTATTATGCTTAATACGGCATATTTATTATTAATAAAAATCACATTTTGGCCTTTGTGCTAATTTTCTTTGATCCCTAATTTATCTTTCTACTATCATTATATTTTAGTCTTTTACAGTTATGGTTAAAAATGTTGATTGTCTAATAAAATACTATCATGCTTAAAGAAATTACTTAAAAAACTTAAAAATAAAAATATCATTAAAAAGCCTATAAAATTATTTTTATTTTATTAATATTTTAAAAAAATAAATTAAACGTAATAATATTTTAAAAATATACATAATTTCCAATGATTTCTAAAACTTTTAGAGAAAAAAAATCAACAATACAAAATTATAGTGATAGACAAAATAAATGTCAAAAGCTGAATTAATCGAACAAATAATAAAATAACTAAAGTGACCACAACAAATATTAAATCTTATAATTCTTATTATTATGATGCTTGAAATACAACAACTCCTGAATTTGATAAATTTATGATCGATCATTTAAGTTTTTATTTGATCATGATTCTTAATTTCACAAGCCTTGAACTTTTAGAGGTCAAGGTAACCTTTAAAATTGACATGTTTGATCATCGAATTGGCTCTTGAAAGTTTTTACAGTCAAATTGACCTTTGAAAGTTTTTTGAGTCAAATTGATCCTAAGCTTTATAGATTATTATAAAATAAAATAAAATTAATTTGATCATACTTTAAAGTTTCCTTCGTGAAATTGCCCCCTAGATTTGATAAATTGCTATAGATATTCAATAATCAACTTGACTGAACTTATCAAATTATAAATTGCAATGATTATCATTCCAACTTATTTGTAATCCAAAAGACTTCTTTTTAGGTGAATATTAGATAATATATGTTCAAAATTTTCTTAACCAACTGATAACGTATACATATCCTGCAGACATAACTGCTCGAACTCAAGATCTCTAAAGAGAACAACATTTCATTTTACCACTTATAATCCAAAAGACTTTAAATACTATATTGGAAGCCCTTGAAATTGCAGCAAGACCTCTCCATCTTCCGTGTAATTTATGAATCCATTCTAATTATTTTCATTAACTTTTAAAAGAATTTAAAATTTGAACAAGATTAAAAATAAAACATTCAAAATCATATTTGATCCACTCATTTACATGCCAAATTAGCTGTGGAATCAACGACTATTCTGTCTCATCAGTTTGGCAGCCCGCATCCTAAGAGAATCATATTCCCCCTTTGTCGAACCATTGTTGAAAATGCTGCAATAAACACGTGTGCAATAATCATGCATTGAAGAGCTTTCTGAAAGGGCCATCTTTACGGTCCTTGGCAGCTTCGGTTAAAGCAAGGAACCTCTTGAACCCTGTAGTCGCAGCACCGCGTCCAAGAGCAGCTGCTCTTGTTAGCACATCTTCCCGAGAAGCTATAAATCCAGCTGAAGCAGGATTTGACATGGCTGGAACTGTAGTCGCAGACTGGGCTTGTGGAATTGCCTGGCTAGCTGCTGCTGCTGCCCCAGAAGGTTGTGAGATTACCGGCGACCCTTTGTTGAAGTCGTCTAAGATACTTTGTTGGTCCGATTTCTTGAGGCCCTGAACACAAAAATTTCCATTTTCTTATTTTAAAGATCCGAAATCATTTAATGAAGTTATGGACTTATGATCAACTTTACCTTGAGCTCTAAAATACGCTGAAACTCCATCGGTGTTCCCTCTGGGAGCAACGCACGGTATGTATCCGCCACTGAATCAACAGGAGATAGTATAACCTGTGTAATGGATAAGGTACAAACTTGTATTACGATAGATGGACATGACCAGCCAGAATGAAAGCTAGCCTGAATTTTTATCAC